CTTGGTGAGAGGGCAGCAGGACAGGCCCTACGAGGAGAGACTGAAGGACCTGAACCTGTTCAGCCTCAGCAAGAGGAGGCTGAGGGGGGACCTGGTGGCTGCCTACAAACTCATCAGGGGAGATCAACAGCAAATAGGCAGAGCCCTTTTCTCCCCAGCACCACCTGGGGTGACAAGGAACAATGGTCATAAGCTGATGGAGAATAGGTTTAGGTTACAGATCAGAAGGCAATATTTTACAGTTAGGGTGGCCAAAATCTGGAACCAACTTCCCAGGGAAGTGGTCCTCGCCCCTATCGTGGGCAATTTCAAGAGGAGGTTGGATGATCACCTGTCTGGGGTCTTGTGAACTCAGCATTCATTCCTGCCTGTGGCAGGGGGTCAGGCTAGATGATCTATTCAGGTCCCTCCTGGCCCTAGCTACTATGAAACTTAACAGACACACAGTGTCACCCACCCATGTCACGAGCTTTGCCTGTCAGCAGCCAAAGGTGCAGGCCCCAGAACCCCTGCACCCATCTCCTTGAAAGTTGGCAGGCTTTGTGGCCTCAGCAGGGGCTAGCAGGCCTGTAATTTTCACCCTGCTGAGCCTTAACACATACACTGTCACCCATGTCACGAGTTTTGCTTGTCAGCAGCTTGAGGTGCATTTTCCCTGAAACCCCTGCACCTATCTCCTTTAAAGCTGTCAGGCTTTGTGGCCTCAGCAGGGGCTAGGAGGCCTGTAATTTTCACCCTGCTGAGCCTTAACACATACACTGTCACCCATGTCACGAGTTTTGCTTGTCAGCAGCTTGAGGTGCATTTTCCCTGAAACCCCTGCACCTATCTCCTTGTAACTTGGCAGGCTTCACGCCCATAGAAAGGCTTACCATTCCTGCAAGTTCCATCCAAATCAGGTCAGAAATGACAAAGTTATAGGTTATTTCAAGCTTCCCCATTATAGCCTATGGGCGAAATGTTGAAACAGCGAAAATGTTTTGATGAAACGAAACGGAACAGCAGTTTCAAATTGAAACGAAATTCGAAACAAAACACTGTTCCATCAAAACGTCAAAATGCAAGTCGAAACGGAACGGTGCCATTTTGCAGAGCCCTACTCGTTTCCTCACTCATCCAACATAAGCCATATCTAGCCTATACTCCATGGATCTTGCCCACAAAACCCTGGAAAATAATGATTTGAACCAAAAATGGATGCATGCGATCTGTTACCGAGGTTTGATTGGATTTTAAATGCTGGGCCTGAAGCAAAAGGGGGAATAGTGGCAGAGTAGGAGTCAGAAAAGCTAGAGGGTTTTCTTTCCATCTTCTGGAAAAGTGAAATAATTCCTTAAGAGTCATTCTCACATTCAGCTTTCTGACCAATGACTAATAGTAAAACAGAAAGGAAATGAGGGACGTGTATGTGCACATGAGCAAAGCTTGCCTCCTGCTCTCCACTGAACCATGACCCGGTTACTCCAGGAGCTGCCTGCTGTTTTCTTATTTTCTAAGCAAGTCCCTGAGACAATGCCTTGCATGCCAAACAGAGCCAGGGAATCAGATCGGAAAAGTTCTGAACTGGAGGGATACTCCCCTTTTCATCCTCCTTAGCCCTTGATACATTTCTCCTTTCCCTCCCACCTAAAAACCTGGACAGAAAAATAACTCTTATGTGTACAAGAACACAGGGGGAAATGCTTCTGCACTAACTGTTTTACTGAGCTGAATTTAGATGCTAATTTTGTTGTTGTCATCTTGACAGAACCCAAGAAGAAGAAAAAGGAAGGCAAGAAACAGGAGAAGATGCTGGATTAATAGAAGCCAAGCTGGTCAGCATGAGAAAGGGACATCGGCAGCCACGATCAGTTAACAGTTTCATGTTACACCTAGGCATTTTATCCTAAAATTATTTATAGCTTAATGGTACAATAGAAGGAAAGAAACAAATACACACACAAAAAAAATATTTTTTTCCTTTTTATTTTACTTTAGTATTTTTAACATATAACCCTAACAATGTTTTTAGAGGCCTGAAATAAAGGACTGTAACTTCTTTTAGAAAAGTATTTCTATTTTATATTGAACAATGTAGAAGGTTTTAAAGAATTTTTTTTCTCAAGTTTTATATTAGTTCTTGATCCTATGAATTAGTCCACACGGGCTAAGGCTTGAGCATACAGAGCCTAACTGTAGTCAGTGGAACTTTGTTGTAACGGTCTTTGCCTGAAAGCTGCAATGTTTTAGGATTGTGGCCTTGGGTCAGAAACAAACAAACCTTTCTTTCTTTTTCCTTTTATCTTTTAAATTCTTGTTACAGCTAGAGAGCTCTGTGAATAATCAGCTGGGTAGGGATTTTTGGATATTTGCAGGTAAGAATGTTTTTTTCTGGTTAATCTTCAGGTGAAAGGCCACCATTTCTAGGTTAAAATCTCATTGTCTCTGCTGCTGGCAATTTTCCTTTCTCCGACAGAAAAAAGGTGGGGTTAGCAAAGTCCTGAATTTTCCTTTTTTCCCCCTCAGAAGCTGAGAAAGTATTTTTCATAGAAGAATGACAGCAGAACTCTCTTTTTGTTTTCATATTAAATTCAAGGTGATGGAGAAAAATGTTTTCTTCTCTATCTAAAAATCCTGAAACCCCCCCAGAAATTCTGGGGTTTTTTTCCAGCAGTGAAAACAGCCTTTTTTTCCTTATACATTTAACCTGCATTATTATTTTTGCCTGACTCAGCTCCCACAGATGTTAGTGGAAGACCTCCTATTGATTTTACTTAGAACTGGTAAAAAAAAGAAGTATTTACAGCAGAAAATAGCTAAAGAAATGAAAGTAAAAAAATGTCATGGACTATTTGATATTTTGACACAAAATTAAACAACGTTTGAGAGGGCCTAGATATAAAAAAAAAAAAAAATTCAATTTTTTTGTTCTCTTTCATTTCCCATTACAGAGAGAGGAGGGTGGGAATGAAAACCAAAACAGTTTTCTGTTTTCATCCACAAATTGGAATAGTTCAGCCAAAATAAAATTTTTGTGCTGTGAAATTTTCATTTAAAAATATTTTGTGGGGAAAAATTAAATGGAAACAATTTGATTGGCTGTAATTTCAACAGGTGCTGAATCTCCTCTTCTGAGGGGAGGGGAGTCTTCTTTCTTTCATTTTGACCATTATTCAAAATGATTGTGAGATCAGGGGAAAGACCCATTTTTTATGAGCCAATTTGCTATCCAACTGGCTCCTTGAAGATCTCACCATGTGGTGGATTGGGAAGAGGATTGGTTTTCGCACAAGGCAGCTTTTAGACTGACATTTTCAAAGGAGCTAAAGGAAGTTCAGTGGCCAAATCCCATTGAATTTACTTTGAAAATCGCAGACTAAAAGAAGAAGGGAGGGACTACGTACTTTGTATGATCAACAGGCTGCCAATCTCATAAGTGTTGGGGGGACCCTGCCAAACTCCACTCATTTCCATGGTGCTGCATCAGACATAGTATAAGCAAATGATCTGAATTATATTCACAAAGCTTGCAGAAATAGTGGGGAATTTTTCCCACGCTAACCTCCCACATGCCTCCCTACCCCAAACAAACTCTGGGACAGACCTTCCTCATGCTTATACTAAAGTTATGTCTACATTGCAGTCAATATGCAAGTACAATTCACATGGACACATTTGAATTCATTTTATATCAACTAGGTTGGGTACTGAGAGCAGTAATGCCATAACAGCCCAGATATTTGCCTGGACTATCAACCAGGTATATGCCTGGCGTTGGAAACATTTTGCCTGTAATTCATGCTGAGTTCCATGTGCTCTGGCTACACTGTTATTGTTACCTGAGCTTGAAATGGATATTTGGGTGGGCCAACATTTAGAGCAGATGAGCAAAAACCAAAGCCTATTAATATATTTAATTAAACGTGACACACCCTGAGGCTCTGACTGGTGGGCCTAGATGCAAATTGGCCCACCTTTGGCTACGCCTCTGACTTCAAATAAGTAGCTGCAGCTATCTGAGCTGTAGTCATGCATTGACTGCATTGTAGGCATATCCTGAGAGTAGATGTTTTTGGCTATGCCTTAGAGCAGAATTTGAGAACTGCTTCGGTATGTCTCTGGAGCTGTTCCTTGTGCCCTACAATTAGAAACTGTTTGATATACAAGCAGTGGGGGATTCAGTTGCTGGGAGGGAACACGGTTATAGGAGAATAGTTGCTTTTCACTCGCCAAAGGCTTGTCTACATACTGAACTAATTTAGCCGGTACAGCTTTTAAACTTGGTTTCCAGTGGTCAAGGTAGCTATCAAGAGTCAAGAATGCAGCAAAGACAGACAGCCTGATTGTTCCTGCACATACACTGGTTTTTATAGTCATAGCTCCTTGTTTCTACCAGGTAGAATTGAAAAGAGAACCATGTGTTTAGCTCCTTGGGGAGTGCTCACTTGGCACCTCATGACACATGATCAGCAACCCATCAGGCTGATTAAAAGAATAATCTTAACAGGGTCTACAGGAAACCCATTGAGTCCTCATTATCAAGAGGATGATGGCAGTGATGCATGGCCTCAACAGAGTCTAAAGAGGAAAAATGAAAATATCCTCATGGCTCCAGGACAACAGTGCAGAAAATCCCTTGGTGTGGAGGGAATAAAGATGTGGGGTGATGAAAATGCTGCCAGTGTGCCCCCAGCCATAGAAGATCACATACATACTGGTACTTTCCAGTGTGCCACCAGCCATAGAAGATCACATACATACTGGTACTGGTATCAATAACCAAAGTAAATATTTCGTACTTCACAAAAGGGAAGAAAATATCTAGCAAATCAGCCAGAAGAATTCCACAGGGAGGCCTGGATGACGGTAGAGAAGAGACATACTAATTATGCCAAACCGGAGAAGACCGTTACAATTCACCTTCCAAAAGAAACAGAACAGCCAGGTCAGCTGTAAAAAAAGGCACCTGGGTGTGAGTTGACCTAGAAAACTGGTCCAGCTGTTTTTCTAGTGAAGTTAAATTGCAAAACGAGAGAAAAGTTTCTGAATACATGTTCACTCTCCATCCATCCTCTCTCCATCTGCCCGGAGTCATTTGGCAGATCCTACCCATTCATTTCTTTATCCTATAATCTCCCATTGTCTTATAGAGGCTTCCACAATGGTTACCTTCCAGCTAAGGAGGGAAAGTATGTCTTTCCTTCTAAATTATAATTTTAGGAGAAGGAAAGACATACTTTCCTACACACACACACACGCACATATATATATTATATATATATATAAAAAATATGTTTAAATCAAGAACAAATTGGCATACTAGCACCAAATTTACAGAAACAAACAATGTATCCCACTTAGGGATTGAGCCATTATTTTAATCAGTTTAATGAAATAAGCTAGAGTTACCTGTTACTAGGTGAGTGTCCCACCCCAGGATTTATATTCTTCGACTTAGATTTTGAAACTTTTTGGCTTTTGGCAGCTGTGCTCTATATCTTTAATGTGTTGAATCACCTCCCCAAAACTTCAGGGAAGCCCATATTATGGTAGGGACTCAAATAGGTTAGGCCACTGTCAAGTTTGACATTTGTCTAGGTAGAAATACCCTGCGCTGAAAAGGAGTTCCTGTTTGAACTTCGCATTGTCTCACCACCAGTCAGCATCTTCTACTTTTATAGTGCCACTCCTGTTGGTGCTGTTTCTTTTTCAGGGGAGGACACTATTTTCATTTTAAGAACAATAACTATCACCAATCAGGGAACAGCTTCAGAGGGCCCTGGTCAAGAATTGCTGGGTGCTAACTCAGAAGCACCTTATTCAAGCTCCTTCTGTTCATTTCTCCCATCACATATCTTTCTTTCCAGAGAGCAGGAAAGGTGGGAATTGGGTTAAACTTTTGCTTCCATGCTTTGTTTCAATGATGCCAATATGGAAACTAAGCAAATTTGGACTGGAGACAACATGGAAGCCTCCCCCACTCCTCCTCACAGTGATCTGGACATTAATAGGGGATATAAAAAGATAGGAGCGGCAGTATGATCATTTCCTCAGCTTTAAGAATTCAAGTGGTTAAGACTAATAAGAGAAATGCTAATCTATTTTTTTTAACTTGATGGAAATTTTTTCCTTCATCATTTAGCCTCAGGTCATGGACAATTTGAATAAAACAATGGTGCATTAATTGGTAATGAACCCAGGGGAGAACAAATATTTTCCATGTGAAAACAGCCATCTAAAAGCCATGTAATGCAGTGGTGAAAACCAGGCTGTTTATCTGGGAGTTACTGAGGGTGAACGTTGTGGATCTATCTATTCTCCTATTGCTTAGGAGAATTCTTTGACAATCTCTCAGATTCCTCTGTGGTTTCTATTAGGCTAAAAGCTCTGAGGAGGAATAAGCATGTTCCTTTGTTCCTAGCATGGCATGTGTGGGTATGATATAACATGGTTTGTATTTTCTGAAGTGCTGCTGGAATCGCTCTGCAACTACATCAGTTATGTAAACCTGCCAAGGTTTGTTTTTAGTGAATATTGATGAGATTTCAACAGAAAACAGAAATGTTCCAAACGTCCCAGAACCGTACAGGGAGGAGAAGGAGGGTTGGGGCTAGGGGTATCAGAAATCTCTCCCTCAGTCCATCCAGAGCCCACCAAGGGGTGGTCTCCTATAAATCTGGAGTAGTCCTGTATAAAATGAAGATATTTCCCTCCAAGTTTTATCAGTGTTTCAGACTTACTCTTTGGTCTGGCCAAGAAATTCCTCCCAGGATTTTGAAGGCATTACTGGGGCTTTTTCTCCCAAAGTTGGGAGAATGTTCTGAAGGTCAGGATGGGGGTTCTCATGCTGAACATGCAAAATGCTGGTGGTAAGAGAGATTCATGTGTGACCTGCGTGAGCAACCTACTCCCCCAAGTACCAGGAACAGATGCCTACAACTAAACCTTGCTCTCTGTTTCTTCCTGAGAGACAAAGAATTGTGGGAGCTTGTGATCAGGATGATTTTCATATCCATTTAATAAGGTATGTACAA